TCAAAATTCAAGAATTTAAGAGCCCAATAGGCCTTGTGCTCTAATTCTACTAGTAAATGGCATGCTTTACCAAAGACCAACTTGTAGGGGGACATGCCAATGGGTGTCTTATATGCAGTTCTGTATGCCCACAATGCATCATCTTTTCTAGCAGATGCTATAGTCTTTTTCAGAATTCTTTTGAGTTCCCTGTTAGCCAACTCCACTTGACCACTAGTTTGAGGGTGATAACTGGTAGCCAATTTATGTGTAATTCCATATTTTTGCATTAACCGCTCAAATTGGCTATTGCAGAAGTGAGTTCCCCTATCACTAATTATAGCTCGCAGAGTGCCAAAACGGGAAAATAGCTTTTTCAGGAAATGTACCACCCTCCTTGAGTCATTTGTGGGCAAAGCCATGGCTTCTACCCATTTAGATACATAATCAACAGCAACGAGGATGTACTTATTCCCAAAAGAATTCGGGAAGGGTCCCATKAAGTCTATACCCCAAACATCAAAGATTTCGCAGATTAAAATATTGGAAAGGGGCATTTCATTCTGTCGGGAAATGTTTCCTGACCTTTGACATTTGTCACATGTGGATACATACCTGTGGGCATCTTTGAATAATGTAGGCCAATAAAAACCTGATTGCAAAACCTTGGCTGCGGTGCGACTAGCTCCAAAATGCCCTCCTGCTTCTTTATCATGGCAAAATTGGAGTACCGACTCCATCTCCTCCTCAGGGACACATCTCCTTATGATCTGATCTGCACATAATTTATATAAAAAGGGTTCCTCCCACAGATAGTATTTTACATCAGAAAGGAATTTCTTCTTTTATTGATATGATAGGTTAGGAGGAATGACTTGTGCAGCTAGATAATTTGCAAAATCAGCATACCAAGGAGATGCATATTCTTGAACTGAGTACAGTTGTTCATCTGGAAATTCTTCTCGGATGTTGCTGGTTATCTCCTCTTCTGAGCTTACCTTGTCTAACCGGGAGAGATGATCAACAGCTAGGTTTGCAGCATCCTTCATGTCTCTAATCTCAATATCAAATTCTTGTAGAAGAAGGATCCACCTGATCAGTATTGGTTTTGAATTTTTCTTGGTAAGCAAGTGTCGTAATGCCAAGTGATCTGTGTATACAACAAATTTTGGACACTATCAAATATGAACGAAATTTGTCAAGTACAAAGATTACTGCTAGCAGCTCCTTTTCTGTGGTGGTGTAATTGAGTTGGGGTCCATTCAAGGTTCTGCTAGGATAGTAAATTGGCTGAAAATGTTTGTTCACTCTTTGTCCCAAAACAGCCCCTACAACAGAAGCACTCGCATCACACATTAATTCAAATGGGAGGCTCCAATCTGGTGCTACCATGATAGGTGCATGGATCAATATGTTTTTCAAAGTGTTGAAAGCATGAAGGCATTCATTTGAAAATTCAAAAGGCACTTCTTTCTGAAGCAAGGTAGATAGTGGCTTGGCAATTTTTGAGAAATCCTTAATAAACCTCCTATAGAAGTCGACATGCCCTAAGAAACTTCTCACAGAACGGATAGATGATGGGGGTGGCAATTTTTCAATTGCCTCCACCTTGGCCTTGTCGACTTCTATACCTTTGTGAGAGATCTTGTGTCCAAGCACTATGCCTTCTTGCACCATAAAATGACATTTCTCCCAATTCAACACAAGATGTGTTTCTTCGCATCTAGTAAGCACCTGTTCCAGATTATTCAAGCATGCATCAAACGAAGAGMYRAAAACTRAAAAATCATCMATAAAGWTCTCAATAAATTTTTCAACCATATCAGAAAATATGGACATCATGCATCGCTGAAAGGTTGTTGGGGCATTGCATAATCCAAAGGGCATCCTTCAGTATGCAAAGGTACCATATGGGCAAGTAAAAGTGGTCTTTTCTTGGTCTTCTGGTGCAATTGGGATCTAGTTATACCCCGAATTTCCATCAAAGAAACAATAATACTCATGTTCGGCTAGCCTCTCTAACATTTGGTCCATAAATGGGAGAGGGAAATGGTCCTTCCGGGTGGCTTCATTTAACTTTCTATAGTCAATACATACACACCATCCGGTGACAATTCTAGTCGAGATGAGTTCATTTTTCTCATTTGGAAAAATGGTCATACCCCCTTTCTTGGGCACGACTTGCACGGGGTTTACCCAAGAACTGTCAGAAATAGGATAAATGATCCCAACATCTAATAGCTTAATTATTTCAGCCTTTACCACTTCTTTCATGTTGGGGTTCGGGTGTCTTTGGGGTTGAACGGAAGGCTTGTTGTCCTTTTCCATCAAAATTTTGTGAGTGCAGATTGATGGATTAATGCCTTTGATATCCTCTACCTTCCAGGCTATAGCATTTTTGTGTTCCCGCAGCATTCTTAATAATTTTTCTTTTTGTAATGGATTCAGTGACGTGGAAATTGTTACGGGGAGAGTTGATGGTTCCTCAAGGAAAGCATAC